TCATAAAAGCTCGTATACAGGAATGGCTTTTACCTCGGATATGACCCCCCACAAAATCATAACTCTCAGTAAAGTTTGTGTTTTTTAAAATCTTATCTGTGCCTTGTGCTAAGCACGGACACAGCACCAAAACACACTAGCAGCAGAAGCGTGCACCTGAACAGGAAGCACTGTGTGCCTCCACAGTCTTTCTTCACAGTGATTTTCCTGGTTATTCCCTGCCTGGCTGAGCATGTCGTAAGTGGAGCTAAGCACAGAAGGCAGCTCATAGGAGAAAGAAGGTCCTTGCACCCCCGCTGTCCTGTGATCTCATTCAGAGAGTGGAGAGAATTTATTGCATAACAGTGTTCTCCAGCCCCCCTTTTTGTGCTAAAATGGAACAAAAGAGATTTTCTGTGTGTCTGTGTTGCAAAACAAGTTCAGTAGATGCAACACAGAGTTCTCATGGTGATGTGCACAGGTGCAACAACCTCCAGCAGGGATTTGACTAAGTTGGCAGAGACAGGGACGTGGCAACTCAAGCCAACTGTGAAAAGGCGTGCATTTCATTTGCGAACAACTAAGGAACCTGCAGCATGGTGCTAGTATAGGGGAGGAACCAGCAGAAATAGTTTCATTGTTTCAACATGGGGAAACAGTGACACTAATCCCCTTGAAAATCCTGTTTATGGAACCATTCGTTCTGAAAATTTCTTTTCTGGAACTGTGATTTTCCAGAATTTCCGCTAAGATGATTTTTGTGTGTTTGTTTGCTTGTGTTCAAAGTAATTCCTGCACCTACCAGCAAAAAGAATGATAAATAATTTCATTATATGTAAATTTTCATCACTTTTTAAGTCAGCTAGGAAGGCTCTAGAGCACACATCTCCTACAGATGGTCTGTCCATTCATGTCCAGGCTGACACAGGGAGTGGAATGCCCTGGTCCTTGTCTTTCCCTATGCCTCGATGAACCACATATACACTGGTTTGACAGGCACATTGTGCATGCAAAAACTGCCATACACCTGGTAGCCCAAGCAAGTGGGATAGGTCTATCAGAGGCTACACATGTCCTGCAGGACTCTAGAACTTGCAGAAAAAGGAGACAATTTCTTTTGCCTGCTAATGTTTAAACTGTTAGCTGCTATTATATTCATAGACGTCTTAGCCATATGAAGGAGGAGCCATAGACTGAATTGCAACTTTGTTTACAGAGGTTAAAAAATATAAATGGGAAAATAATTTTGATTCCTGAAAAGACAGCACATCTATATTGAAAGAAGAAAAAAAATATTACGATGAATAGATTATTGCAAATCTTAGCAATAAAACCTGAAAGAAAAAGATTATGAAATTTCATCATGTCAGAAACACTGAAATTCTTTGTTCCTTTGTCCTCCTACCAGAAACTCTCTTAATAGCATTGAAACAACACTCTTAGGATATTGGGTTATTCAAATAAAATAGGGAAAATATTAATTCATGATAGATAAAATCAAAGTAACTTTTAAATAATCCACATTTTGACATCAAAAGCTGTACCTACAGTAAGCCATTTGAAACATATCTTAAGAAGATAACATGCAAATGCTGGACTACCTTTAATAACTAAATTTAAAGGTGAGAAGTCAGAATTCAGTTTTATGAGAATTGGCCCAAGACCCACAAGTAAATAACACAGGCTAAAGAAACACTCTTACAGGGAAAAAGGTGCTCCTTCTCCCTCTATGGATATAGTTTATTTTTTCAAATGGAGCTGAACAAATAAATAAGAAGCTTATTAAATTGAGTAGCTAATACAAAAAATACATGAAGCATCACAAGCATTTTAGTTTTGTTCAGGCCTCATCCAGACAGAGAGCTACAGGAACTGTGATAGAACAAGCTCCATTTTTACTGTCACTTTCTAAAATTACAGTCTGATAAGGTAAGTAATATTTTAGTCTATGTACTAATGTAACTAAGTTAAAACTTAAAGGAAACTTATCTACTTGCTCTCCTACCTCATTTTATTATGGATCCCATGTGCTGTGAATACACACAGCAGCATATGTCCTTAATTTGAAAGTGTATTACTTTCTCAAAGTCTCCATTAACCAGCAATTCAAGAGTTAAAAACTTAGGAAGTCTCATCAGGACAATCAGAAAAATAAAAAAAAAAAAAAGATCAAGCAATTCCAGACCTGAGAAAAATTCTGTTTACTTCTTTTCTGCATATATGCAACTTTTCAAAAAACCTTTTTTTTTGAGAGACTGACCATGGGAAAATTTGAAAAGAAGAAATTTATTTGCAAAATACTAGAGCACAGTATAGCCATAGCTAAGGAGCACAGATAGAAGAGCACACAGATGCTTGAGATACTGCTAAGTATGCCAGCCTCAGGACTGAAGGTAGTAGAGGTGGGTGGCATTGTGGCACTAAACACCTCCAGGGATGATCATTCCACCAGGTGTGATCCATTCTAATGTGCAATCACCCTTTCTGTGAAGAAATTCCCCCTCATGTCTTGCCTAAACTTCCCTTGATGCACTTTAAGACTGTGTCCTCTTGTCCTGGTTGCATAGGAACACAGTGTTTCTCCTCACTGTTGGTAAACCAGTATATGTACAACCCTACAGGAAAGATAAGTAAGGCTACAAATAAAAATAACTATATGAGTTGAAAGGCCAGAGTTTTCTGCCATTTCCATCCAAGCTGCCAAAGCCTGCCTCATGCAAAGATTGCTGCTGAAGTGTTTCCCATTCTGCCTTTACTGGCACTTTCCTGTGCTGGATGCACAGGACATGGAAAAGGGAAAGAAGTGACAGCTGTTTTGGAAATCTATACGATCCTTGGTTTAGATCTCTTAGAAATCAATTTATTTTGCTAGAAAAATGCAAAGAGGCCCTGGCAGCCAAGAGAAAATTAATTATTTTGCATACATTGTGTAACAGTATTCATTAGTTTTACATGAATGGTGAGAGGTCAGTCAGGAATAGAATCCCATTGTGCTACCCTTCAAAGAGCTTGCCATGTAATTGAATGGAAGAAAGGAATTAAATATGCAGGCAAAATGAACACTAATGGTTAGCAAACAGCACATTGCAAATGTCTACAGCTTCTTTGTCTAAATTCTTCAGTTGAGGTCTTAGGGGAAGGTGATCAAATAAAAGCAAAAACAAAGAAAATAAAGAATACTGGGGGAGGTGCATAAAACACATGAAAAAAGGAGAAGCATAATGGGATCTGAATGCTACAGCATATCCGACTTGTCGTGTATTAGCACACAGACTTAAAACATACATTATGCCTGTCTGCCGTTGTTTTCTGTACAGGGAGTGTGCCACGTGCAGGGCCATGTGAGAGACATTTTAGGAAATGTGATAAAGTTCTGACCATATATATCACAGAGCTAGCTTTTGTTCTGCAGAACGATGAGAACACTGTGAGTCAGTAAATGGAATCATTTAAATTTGAAAATAGCTCCCCAGAATCTGCTGAATCCATTCAGAGTTAACTAGCAGGAGAGCATCACCATGAAGTGTTCTGGGTCCATCTGTTGGCAATATCATGATGGAAACAGTTTTTTAAATGCTATTTTCAATAGCTATCACACAACAGCTTGTTTCAACAATATTTCATTACCTTTCTGTTTGTTTGCCACCTACTATAAAAAACAGCTTGGAGGGAAGGAGGCATTTCAGTACTATAGACTGATGTAGGGTGGGAGGGACAGAGACACTACAGAAACAAGCAAAATGAGAAACAACTATAAAAATAAAAAATAGAAGAAACTGTAATTTTAGACTCTCTGAAATAGAGATTTAAACCAGAATGTGGAACCTGAACTGTGGTCGTGTCAGAAGGGGATGGTCTGCACCAGCCTGCCAATCGAATTATTGAACAGTGACAGTGTCAGCCACAGGAAGCCAGTGGCTCCTAAACAGAAATGGCAAGTGCACCCAATAACTACCTTTAATACTGCAGGACCTTCTCAACTGTGCACTCCAATGAGAACTGAAGGAAAATTCACCTCCAACACTGTGACACAGTCACTTGTGTGGTACCAAACCAACCTGGCCTATACAAGTCCTAGGAAAATACCATGTGTCCATCAGTTTACTCCTCAGGTAAAACAAGTGCCAGTGACATACTGATGGTACAAAGTCTGCATCCAATAGCATCAGAGTGGCTCAGCTGCAGAGACCAGCTTAGCAATAAAGAACAGATGGCTGCACTTGATCCCAAAGTTAGCAGGAGAAGAAGTTCTTTTGATTCACAGAAGTTAAGAAAGTTTCACAATTAGACAATTCAGAACGTAGTTGTCTGACCTAGCTTTGGAACACCTAATGTCATGACTTTTTAAACAAGGAAATAGATAATCCCAAGGTTTGTTCTGACTCATCCCATGATCTCACGACTTTAAAATAAACTCCTCTATGCTGATTAATTCTATATTACTGACTCAAGTTCTAACATGTATTTACTTTGAAGTTTTGGTTTTAAAGAGATGCACTCCTTCAAGAATTATATGGAGCACTCAAGTTTCCCACACATTATGCATCTTGTTTCCCAAACAGTATTAGAAATATGGAAGTTCATAAGCAATACTGCATGGGAAAGTAAAAGAAAAAAGGTATGAAACATTATAACTTCATGCAAACGGAGATGCAGAGAGAAGAAAGTAAACCTGAAAAAGTAATATGGAAATAATACTGATAAAATCAAAACACAGCCTTGAAAGAAAAGTAAGAGTGCGCAAAAAACCAAAATACTGCATAAGGACTTCATTCATTATTAGCACTATAAGAAATATGTACAGATACCTCTCTGTACATTTGGGCTCATTTATAAAATATTTTATCTTCTTCTGCTACTAAGATTGATTGTTAAGAAGACAAAGTATTTTGTGTCCTGTTTATGTCTTTGACCTACTCAAATGCATAAAGCCATAACATCCTCTTAGAATACGTGCATCACAGCCTGCTATTAAAAGGAGAAATACAATAAATAAGAGGATGCTTATGGTAAGCACCTACCTGAGGACGTATGACTTTCACTATGTTTTTAAGTGCAGTGTCTGGTGATGGAGGAGAGCAGTCAGGTGTTGGGCCTGTGGAGCTGTTTCTATGGTTACCAGATCCCGGTGCGGTAATTGCTACCTGAGGTGCATTATCTGTGAATAAAAATAACACCTATGTGAAATTACAAATACTTTGTATATTTTAAAGTAAAAAAGAACTTTGAAAACAGAAGGTTGCTCAGAACACTATTTAAACTTATAAAATGTAATATAATTGAAATATATTTGTCAAGGAATATATTGCATATCTACACTTATTTTTTCAACCCATACATTCATTCTGTGTTAAGACAAGATACAGCATTCTCTCAGTACCTAAACAAAATGAGGTGGAAACCAAGCATGAATATTTTACTTTCATTACTTTGAATTACTGACAGTGAATTCAAATATCACTATAACAGGGGTGACTTGAAAGGGAGATTTATAATGCAACTTCTAGCTCATTCTGGAAAATCCTAACACATATGACCAAGCTCTATATATATCTTTGTGTTACACAAACACGTACTGACTCAGAACATGCTAATAGCCATCACTGACAACTTTCCTTAACATTGTGATCAGCATAACTGACCAGCAAAGACTAATTACATGAAAATATGCTCAGTTTCTCAGGTAAAATTTGCATCCTCCATAGAGTTCTGCACTGCAGTAGCTTCCTTTCCAGCAGTACCCCAGCTATATAACCTACAGCTGGCTTAAAAATACCTGCACACCTGCATGTGTATGGGAAACTGCTCTTTGGACATATTTTGCTCTTACCATTTTATGGCACTGGGAAGGACCATTAAAAGGACTTAAAATATCATTCTTACCTTCTCTAAATGTTCTTAATGCTGTTTGATCGACAAAGTTAGGGAAAACCAGATCAGAGGGTAGAGAGGACTATGAAATAGCTTCTCAGCTGTGAGAGAACCCAATCACTGGAATGACTTAGCAGAAGGCAAAAAACTCCACATTACTTCAGGCCTCTAGAATTATATCAGTAAAGAAATGCTTTAGTCGAGATTCTGGGGAAAGTGCCATTGCCTGTGCACGGTTATGGTGGTTAATACAGTGTCTGTGGATTTAGTGAGCACCTTTCTTTGTGAGTTACAAAGATGTGCTCCATGCTCCTAAATGTGCTGTCACACCTGAAGCACTGCATCAAGACAGTGATGTCAAGTCTTGTGTCTGTGGACCTCAACTGACAGCCTGCAGGGTTCACAGAAGGAAGCAAGCTTTTTGTGATTCTCCAATATGTGCTTCCACTCTGTGGACAAACCCACTCCAGAAAAACCCAAACATCAATAAGCAAAACCAGCTCTCTTAAGCTGGAGAATTTTTGCATGACCAACTTCTACTGGTACACACATGAGCTCCTCCTGCACAAGTCACAAATGCCTCTGTGAAAGCCATGACAGAAGTTTCTCTCTCTCAGTCCTACTAACCTGAAAGAACTCTTGGAAGGGTAACAGAGACGTTGAAAGAAAGGAAATACCCAGTTACATTAACAGAGATAATATAAGATAAAGGGGAATAGTTTCAGGAAAGTAAACTTGATGGCTTTTGCAAATTAGAGATACTTTCACAGCGTGAGTGATTCTAGGAAAACTGCAGGGTTCTTCCTGCAGAAACACTATGTAACTGGATGAGGTTTCTAACAAAAGTTTCTAATCAAATACAGTCTTACAATTTATTGTTCTAAAACAAACGTCAAGCTGAAATGTTTTAGATTTCAACAATAGTGACATAGCATTTAATGAAAGTATAAACAAAAATGCAGATGGCATATTGGCAGACATCCAAAATTGAGACATCCTGTAGATAACCTCGGGTGTTATCTGACAGAGTGAACCCTCCCTGTTAGAGAAACAGAGAATTCCAACTTTTTTAAAAAGTACCTCATTGAAATTGCCAGTCCAAAAGATGTGCAGTCTTACTGCACAGAGGACTTCTTCCTGAATCATCAAAAGCGCGTACAGAAAGCTTGGATCAGAAGTAATTTATTTAATAAAGTAATAAATGTGTGTTGATACAATGTATCAAAACAATTTTAACACAGCCTTAGAAAATAACTGAAAATTAATTCTCACAATAACATAACTGACATGCAAGAATTTTGATAGCATTTCAGTAAGCCTTAAGTTTCTCATATACTTTCCTACCTGACCTGGTGTCTAACTTTATAATGTTGTTCACGTGCACCACGTAAAGGAGTATTCTGTGAAATGAAAGCCCAGCTTATCAAAGGAGGGATAGAGATTTGGCAAGAAGAGAAACCTCTAAAGCCTTGCCATACTCTGAAAATCTCATAGTGAGAACAAAGGCTAGATACGAGTAACACCTTAAGTGGGCTGGAAGTCTTTGTATCTTTTGCTCCAGACTATGAAACAGCATCTCCTTTCACTCCATGGACAGATAGAATATCATCAATGAACGTCCCTTACTGAGGAATCAGAGAGTCGCTCTAAGAGATCCCTGCCCTCTGTTTGGGGAGCCACCAAACAAGGGACTACACTACTGTGAAGAAATGTGGGAACACAGACACCATATATAGGAAGGAAAAAAAAGAATTCTAGAGTGAGAAATGCTCCACATGAATTCAGCTAAGTGCACTTAGTACACTTATTTACTCACTGGTGTGAGAAACAAACAGAATGATTGTCTCTGACAAAGCTATAAAGAGCATAACTCTTCCATACTCCAGCAGTCCCTGCCTTTCTGTCACTATTTCTCTGTGAGCCTCTGTGGCTCTGCTTAGCATAACTGCCCTTGAGCTATTTAGCACATGAAAGCCTTGCAGGTGAAACCAGGCAGTCTTGCAGATGCAGAAGAATCTCAAGCATGGATCACTCAAAGGACACATCCTAAGAAACACGGATTGGTGTCAGTGGTGACAAATGCAGTTGTCTGCCCACAAGTTTATTCTATTTCAAAGCCTTGTTGACAGTCACCTCAGCTTAGTTTAACCACACTTCAAATATGCAGAAGAGGGTAACAGGGGAGTCAAGCTATATGAGCAAGGTTTTGGACTTTGCATAGGAAAGACTTCTTGTTGACCCTGTTCAGTAGTAGCTCACTGAAGGTCAGGTTTTGCCCCTTCATACATGCCACATGAGTGGCATTGAACTGAATGCGAGTGACATTCTTGGAAGGAAAATTTATTAGAAGGTATACAGGAAGGGGAACAGGGCTGTTACATGCCCCACAAGAGAGAGCTGAGAAAAAATTCTCCAGCTACAATGTGTGAATACAACCATAACCAATTCAGCAGCATACACAATATGCAGCAACCTCAGAAAAGAGTAGTTAAAGGTTTTCTTTCCAAGCAAATTTAAGCAGCACTATAAAATAAGATCATGTTTATAGAGCCTAAAACAAAACTTTGCAAAAAGAAGCCATAAATTATTATTTTTTTTTTTAAATAAACAGTCCAAAAAAAATCCAACTGTTCAGTATTTCACGCCTTTCCTTCTTTCTCAAGGGGCTAAGTATCTGACACGTAATGATTTCTTGTAAACAATTTCTTTATTGTGGACAGCTGTTTATTTTCACAGTAGGATGTTCCCATTAGGCAACCAATAATGATTTACTACCTGGGTCTGCTCCATCAGAGAGAGAACAACACCATCAAATTAGTTCCTGCAACCAATTTGTAGGACCTGTTTATATATACAGTACTTATATTTTCATTAAGAGTATCTTTGCATTTATTTGCTTTGGAATTAAATTATATAATAATAATTTTTAATTTTCCCTGGTGACAAAACTAAGGAAATTTTTTTCCCTCTTCAGGTAACTATGATGGCAACACTGCAAGTCTAAGAAAAACATTTCATGGCAAATAGAACTTGGAAACTTAAGAAACTACCAAGCTTACCTAGAAAAGATTAGCTCTCATGCTGAATTTCTGATAGGTGCTACAGATGGGGCCAACAGGGAAATATTTACAACTGTCATTCTCTTCCAGTTCCTGGCTCATGTTGCAATAATCTAGATGTTTCTGTGTAAGTCAGGTAACATCAGGCTCCAGGGATCATCCAGCAGCTAAAAACTAATGAACTGCCGCATGCTCTAACAATACTTCTTCCTTCCTCCATCACACATGAGAAGTCATCACAAGGTGTATGTAATTTGAGCTTATTCTGGTTTTTGAAAATGCTTACTGAGGACTTGACATTCTCAATTTTCTTTATTTCAGGGCAAAGGAAATAGAATAGAACAAGAAAAATGCATTAATGTGGTCTTTTAGTATATCGTAAGAGCAAACTAAGGTGTTATTCTAGGAATGTCTTCTAAGACGTCAGATAAAAACATAAAAATGTCAACTGTTTAACTGAGCTGGTAAAAAAAAAAGCCATACACAGGGAATTCTGCCTTTTCCTGTGCTGTGACATCAGTCATTTGTTCCACATGTCTTTTTTCTTAGGGAGCACTGCACAGAGAAAAAAGCCCTCATGGATAATAATAGACCATAACACCAGAGTTCGACGAGTGCTTCGTCGACATTTTCATCCCACTATCTATGTGCTGTGAGGACAAACCACAAACTGCTCACTGAAACTTTTCTAAGAGATTTTTTTTCCCATAATGTACTCAAAGAAAAAGTACTATATGTATACAATGCCACAATATTAACTATCAGGCAATACTAAGTACACCAACCAGAACACTTACTGCATCCCAGCAACCAAAATATCAAAAACCAGACCCAGCCCATATTCCAGAAATATAGTTATAATTAGATTTCACCTCAGAAAGAAATCTTTAAAATGGAACACACAGTTAATCTAGTTTTCTACTTTCATTGCAGAAGCATGCTAGCATCCTTATAAAAATTTACAGTTATGTCTGTATTAGCTATTACATCAGTTATTTCTACAACTTAGTGTAATGGCAATGGATCAGCAGATCAAAAGCAGTTGATCTGCATGACACTCCATTTAGAATATATGTGAGTTTGAACTTTTAGCAATATTTATTAACTTATTTATTCTACCAAACACCCCCATCATACATGCTCTTCACAGCTTCCAGAAGGACCCTGTGCTTTTGGTGTCCACCTAAAGCACAGCTTCACATCCAGAAGAAATCTGGTTTGTGTGCTC